AAACACCAAATGGGAAAAACAAAACCAAACAAGGTGCCCAAAGTCTCATTTTGTACTCAATAATATGCGCGCGCGCGCGCGCACAGACAGACAGATATATATTCTTGTAGGACTTGCAGGAAAATTATACATCATATTTAAAATTGTCCAATGATTAATGCACATCCTAATCAAATTTACATCAAAATTTCATCTCTCTTCAAGATTAATCAAAACCTTGTGTAACCAAATCCGTCTGTCAAATATGAAACTGAGCTTCTTCCTGCTGCTTTTGAAACTTTCTTAGCCACCATTAAACTTCGTCGATGTAAAACATCATTCCACCTTCCTGCTTCAGCAAAAATGTTACAGGAAATGATGTGATCTTCAGGACCATGCAACGTCTGTAGTTCTATGAGCCCACTAACCAACGTTAACCCCATGTCAAAACTGCCATGGACCTTACAGGCATGAATTAACATCCTCCAAACAACTGCATTTGGTTGAATGGGCATCTTTTTAACAAATTCATAGGCCTCTTCTATCATTCCAGCTCGTGCATGCATATCGACCATGCATCCACAGTGCTCAATTTTGGGCTCAATACGATACACCTTGTGCATGATATCATACAAGTTCCGGCCATCATCGACCAAGCCACAATGGTCACATGCTGACAGAACCCCAATGAAAGTAACTGAGTTTGGCTCAATTTTCTCAGCACACATATGACGAAAAGCAACAAGAGCTTCCTCTCCTTCACCATTGATGGCACTGCCCACAATGATTGATGTCCATGAGATAACATCCCTTCTGGTCATCTTACCGAACAAAGCTCTAGCTTTGGCCATACTCCCACATTTCGCATACATGTCTATAAGAGCATTGCACAAGACGATACTCCCATTAAGATGATCACCGCTCTCTATATAAGAATGAATGTGAATGCCATGATACAGATCGCCAGAGTTCCGGCAAGCTGAGATCAATCCCAGCATGGTTACTTCATCTGCTTTTAGCTTTCTAGACTCGATCTCATTAAAGAGCCTTAAGGCATCATTATTAGCCCCACATCCAACATACCCATGTATCATGGAGTTCCAAGATGCAATATTTCCCTCCTGTAGTCTGTCAAATACTTTCCGAGCAAACTGTATCGATCCACATTTGGAATACATGTTGATCAATGCAGTCTGAACAGAGACATCAGTCTCTATCCCACTTTTTTTTATGTAACCATGAACCACCTTCCCCATATCAAGATCTCTACCACTAGTCGCTGCCAAAATCAAGCTAATGAGGGACACCCTATCAAAACCTATATTTCTCATTCTCATCTCTCTAAACAAAGCAAATGCTTTCCTACTATCGTTATTCTTAGCACACCCCACCATCATCGTATTCCACGAAACCAAATCTCTCTCGGGTGCTTCATTAAACACTCTTTCTGCATCACCCAGATATCCAAATTTTGTATACATATCAATAAGCGCATTATAAATCTCATTTCTTGAATCCAATCCCACCTTGCAACAATATGAATGAAGCAAATGTCCAAGACTAATAAATCCACAAAGTTCAGCACAACCAGATATCAATACCATCAAAGTAACATAATTCGGCTTCACACTCGAACAAAAATCACCCGCCAAAACTCGAATAAACAAACTCAAACCCGTATCGAAAAGCCCATTTTTCACATACCCAGAAATCATACAGTTAATGGTAACAACTGTTCTATCAGGAATTTTATCAAACAATGTACGTGCATACCCAACCAAATTCGCCGAATTCGAGTAGAAATGAACAAGACTGTTCAATATATGTACATTATAATCCAAGCCAAGCCTAAGAACATAGCAATGGATCGATTTACCTTCACGAATGGCCTGCATTTTGCTACAAGATTTGATCAGTGAAGCATATATGAAAGGGTCAGATGGGATAAAGGGTTTTGATACACACGACATTTCTCTGAACAAAGTGATTGCTCGTGAAGGTTCTGAGTCTGATGCGTATCTGCGGATCATCAGACGCCATTTGGGACTATTGGGTTCTTGGATTAGGTCGAAAACGGCGGTGGCGTGGGGCAGAGTTGAAGGGTTTGATAGGTAAAGTTGGAGGAGTGAGAGAACAGAAGAGGGGTGAGAATGGAGGCCAGTGGTGATGAGTTGGGCGTGGATTTGAAGGAGGTTTTGAGCAGAGAAGAGTTGTGTTCTTTGGTGGAGAAGTTGTGCTAATCTCTGGATTTGAACAGAGTGACTCATGAAAATGCACACTTGTAGTCTTGGGCTTACAACATGGTGAAAAATAATTAATTTAAACCCATTCCCAAGTCACTACATAGGGAGTGAGTCCAAGCTCCCATCAAATCCTATTTCCTTTGTTTGTTTTTTTTTTCCCCAGTTGGTTACACAAACATATCTCTTTATTAAGGCTTGAATCTTTTTGATCTTCTTTTGAAAAGTAAGAGACTGATATTGCTAAGTCACTGGCTTGTTAGTAATCCCATTCCCTTTTAAAATCCAATCATTCCAAACAAGTGAATTCCCTTTTGAAATCCAATTCCCATGAAATCCCAAGGTTCCAAACACAGCGTACAAGTTCAGCAGTGTTCGGCCATGTCCTCCAGCATGTCCCAGGGCAGTGTCCAATATATAAATAATAATATATAAAAAAAAAAAGAAGAGATATGCTGAAGGGGTGTCAGAGTGTCTTGATGGAGCCCAGGTTGATTTCCAGTTTCAAAGTTGATTCACTTCCTCTTCCTTTTAATCTACCTTGGTAGACAACAATCCTACGGTCTTTTAAGCCCTTTACTTGCAGCGCGGGATGGTGCTCCGATTTAACTGGTTTTGAACAGTCTTCTTTCTGTTTTACAGGTCGACACCTGATGCGAAATAAAGTTGAGTTAGTTGGATCAATAAAATCTTTCTCCTTCCTGCAAAATACCATTAAAAAAAGTACTTTTCACATCTATTTGAAACAACTTTAAAGTGGCATGCAAGATAAAGTATAGCAACTAGTGCAAAAGTCTTATCAAAATTAATTCCTTCTACCTTAGTATATCATTGTGCAACTAATCTAACTTTATTTCGCATCATAACACCATGTTCATCAAGTTTATTTTTAAAGATCCATTTGACAATTTATGATGTTAACATCCCTAGGTCGAGACACTAACTCCCAAACATCATTTTAGTGAATTGAAGCAACTCTTCTTGCATAGCCATAAGCCAATCAAAACTTTAAAGAGATTCATCAACATTCTTAGGTTCAAGGTGAGCCACGTGATATAAGTGTCCTATTTCATCATGTACTATGCATGAGTGTCCTAGATCACCTTGGACTCTACTCTTAGTACCCATTTCATTCCAAGGATATATCACATTGTTAATTGGATGACTCCCTCAAATCCTAGAACTACTAGATTTGGGAATATCTAAAGAAGGTACATAAATTCCAATAGGTTCATTTGTGGTAACTTTTACTTCCTCAACAACATCTTCCCCTTCTCCATCTAAATTCTGAACTCTCTCTTCCCCATGGACTGTAGGTTCATAATCAATTTTCCCTGCACTATCAACATATCTTGTCCTCATCAAGTTGAGTAGAGATTACCTTAGGACTTGCATCATCAAACACAACATTAATTGACCATGACAACATTAGTTCGAAGATTAAAAACCCATGAGCCTGACTATTTTTTTAAAACCTCAAAAAGTATTCTTCATCATTCCTAAAGTCAAAATTTTCCAAATTCTCCCTATGTCTAAAGATGTAACATTTATTTTCAAAAACTCTAAAGTATTTAACAATGGGCTTTCTATCATATTACAATTCATAAGAAGTCTTTTTAGTTTCAGGCCTAAGATAAAACTATGTTTAGGACATGACAAGTAAACATATGGCTTCAGCCCAAAAAGACTAGGAAGTTTATGTTCATGAATTATATAAGAGCCATACCTACAATCGTCCTATTTTTACTCTCAATTACACCATTCTACTTTGGTGTTTTAAGTGCTAAAAAATCATGCTTAATGCCAAGATCATCACAATATTCAATAAACTCACCGGGGTTCGAATTCACTTCCATTATCGCTCCTAACCCGAGTTATCTTGTATCCTTTCTTATTCAGGACCAATTTGAAATTCACTAAGGCATTAGATTTTGATAGCAAAAATAAAATAAATGTAAATTTAGAATAATCATCAATCATTACAAGCATATAACTATTTTTTCAAATGCTATCAGGTATTATTTGACCCGTCAAATCTAGGATCAATTCTAAAGGTTGAAAAGTGACTCTATACTCAAGTCTCTTATGCGACATTCTAGTTTGCTTTCCTAATTGACATGGTCCACATACCTTATCCTTAGACAGTTCCTGTAACACATCAAATTCCATGACTCGATCGGTGCATTAACCAAGAAAATCCAAACCCGATCCAAAACCCGAGTCAAAAATACGGAAGCTGAAAACCATATTAGCCTATATGGCTAATGTGCCAAAATAAAGTACCAAATAGGTATATTTATGTCATACCAAATATGTATAAACATTCTTTGAGGTTCTAGGCCATATAGGAATGGTTTCGTTACAAATTGATATTTTTAACATATGGAAAACATAACCAGTCATCACTAAAATGGCATAACTCTTTCTATATTTGGAATTTCGGAGTGGGACTGATACCATTGGAAATCTGGTTTCAAGGCAGTTAGTTTGAGCACAAGAATGACCTAATTTAAATTTAAAATGAGCAAGTTATGGCCAAATGAAGTTAGCTCAATAGTGTTGTGAACAATGGGCGCGATCGATCGTAATTAATTAGGATCAATCGTAAATGTGGCAAAATGAACTCCAAATCCGAGCACAATAAATGGATCGATCGCAATCAACTAGGATCGATCGCAAATGTCCCGGAATGATAAAAATTACCATGTTTGAGTGCCTAAGGGCTGGTCACCTCCTTGGTACCAAATATAATCATAAAATTAGTCTAAAGTATATAATAAATGATAGAAAACATACATTAACATTAACATTAAAATGGCCTTATGGCCTCATTACATCAACTTGTCCCAATATTAGATATCCATACCATTACTAAGATATTACATATCCCAAATACATATATCCAAGTCATATTACAATCCGAACATGCTTTACATAATAACATGAAAACAATATCCCAAAAGTCAAAGAAATGCCATAAGAGCTCCACATGAACTAAGGATATGGAGGATACTCGATGATGATGCATTTACCTGAAAAATGTAAATCAACGGGTGTGAGCAATTTAAATTGTTCCGTAAGGAATGCATTATGAAAGTAAACTATGTTTCTTTTAGTTTTGAAAGTATAACATATGTTATACAAGCACGGGACATGCCTCCTAACATCTAGTCCAAGGGTAGTCCTACGGAAAATAACCTAGAATTAGCATTGAACCGAAGATAAAATAATTTCATTTCAAATAAGCATTTATGAAAGAAATGAAATATAACCAAATACTCCATAAGTTACAACTACACATGGATGCCAACTTGAAAATAAGATCGGAAATCACAAATGAGAATAACTCAAACACACCCACCCCCGGTCACACGTAATGCATGAACTGATAAAATTTTTGGTTATTTTTGGAACCGAACCACGGGTAACCACCTAATAAAGGTAGTTGTTTTTGGGTTATTAACTCACAAGTAATTAACCAGGTGGCCACTATAAATTGGGAAGCCAAAGCTCACCCACGAGTGCGAAGCCCGAGCTCACTCACGAGTGCGAAGCCCTTGCATTCTCAAAGTATCAATAAGTCCCAAGTATCTCCCAAAAATCATCAACCAACCCACAATGTAATCCATACATCCAATGCTCATGTATAACATTTCTCATGCGCACATAAACGACGAAAATCAAGCAAACCATGCCTTATAGTCTCAAAATACTACCATGGCACAATTGTCAATACAATGATATATAAGATAACAATATGAACTCATAATTAGCTCAACTACTCATATGAACAATTCACCAATTATGTAGCATACTAATGAACACAAAGAACCATATCCTCATACTTGAATAAACAAGCCCACAATATCATCAATATAGCCACAAAATGGACATAGCTCACAAATTAGTCTTTACACCAGTATAGTACATGAAGACGCAAACATGAATATTATAGCTACATCAAGAATCAATAACTATAAATCCAAAAAGCAGCTTAAACATGAAATTCAATAAGATTAAGCAGTGGAGCATCATTATAAGCCTAGGTTATCAACATATATATATATATATATATATATATATGTAAAACACTCACAACTCACTTGAGGCATGTATAACACACATTACACCCTAAAACACAAAGAAATTACTAATTTAAGAACATACTACACCCCTACCTCAATTTAGGAATGTAAACCTAGAAATTCAAAATGGAAAGTGCTCCAAATCGATCCAAAACAAAACCAATGATTTTGTTCCCACCGGAGTCCACAAACTTTTTCTCTTCTACGTTGAGTCCAAATCTCAAAGGAGGTAGATGATATAGGCCTTAGAAATGGTAGATCAAAAGAAAAAGAAAAGTAGGAAAGAGAGAGAAGGGAGAGCCGGCTATGGGGCAGAAGAGAAAATGATCTCTCTCTCCTCAAGTGACATACTTATGTGATACCCCATAATTTTTTAGATTAAATAATTATGTGCTTGTATTTCGTGTTGTTATGATATTTATTTTATAGGCTTTTAATGCATTGGGTCGGGTTTTATGCTGTCGGGTCATGGGTTCCATGGGTCAGCATTGAATTTGAGTTATGCTTATTGGTGGCTCAGTTGATTAGCTTTAATATTGTTAGTTAAAGGGGAATTACAGACTATACATATATAAAAAGAGAGAGAGATGTGAAGCATAAACCCTAGGATGTCTACATTCTAGTTCGCGTAGGAATACCTAAAAGAGGACTGTAACCCAAGGCCGGAAGCTTGAGGATTCAGAGTGCTACTATATATATATATATATATACACGCGCGCGCGTCTGTGCACTATTAAAACTAAGGGTGCAATTTGGGTTGGGTAACTCAAACTCAACATGAGCCCAGTCTGATTTTTTATGGGTTTGGACAATTATTTTTATAATTAAGGTTGTACTGGGTTGGGTAACTCAAACTCAACATGAGCCCAGTTTGATTTTTTATGGGTTTGGACAATTAGTTTTATAATTAAGGTTGTACTGGGTTGGGTAACTCAAACTCAACATGAGCCCAGTCTGATTTTTTATGGGTTTGGACAATTATTTTTATAATTAAGGTTGTACTTGGGTTGAAAAATATCAACCCAAATTTAATTAGGCTTGGCCTTGGGTTGAAGTGCTAACAACTCGAGTTTTTCTTTTCAACTTTTTTTGTTAAATCTTAACTTATTATATGTTTATATTTAGGAGAATTAATTTTCTAAAAATTTGTTTGAAATTTATTAAAAACCTACAAAAAAAATATTTAAACTTTTTCTTATTAAAAACCTACAAAAAATATTTAAAGTTTTTCTTGTTTAAGAGTAATTTAATCTAAAATTAATGCAAGATCATATTAAATTTTCGGTGCAAGGATTAGCCATATGAGTAATCCGAATTAACCCAAAGTTTTTATCCAGAATCTAATTAGCCCGAGTTGCAAGCCCGAATTTAAAAGTAGATGGATAGGTTGGGCTTGGGTTGAGTAGTTAAGGTTGATAATATGATTAGGGTTGGACTTGGGTTTAACATTTCATATGGTGAGTTGGGCTTAAGTTATATCTCAAACTCGTCTAATTCGTCCGAGTTGCAGCCCTAGTTAAAATGTAAAATGATTCTGAGATTCAAAATTGGTATATTTAGACGCCTCTAATAACTGTGCACTGCATGATTTAGTTTGTAAGTCGTATTTCAGATTTGATGTTTCTAGTTTGCTTCTTCTTCTTCTTCTTCTTCTTCATTTATTATTATTATTATTATTATTATTTAATATTATTATTATTATTATTATTATTTTTTTGTGATAACTCTGCTTCGCATGACCTACTGCGTTATTGCATGTTTGATAAGAAATTTTCTAGTGACTTATTCATAATAATTGCATATTTTTTTGTTTCTGGATTTTTCATAAGCTGTCACATTTAAATGGTTAAAACCCGATTTCATACTACGATTACCTGCAAATAGGAATTTAATTCGGTGTACTAGAATTCGGTTAAAATTCTCACAGCGATTGGAACAAACTTAGCGTAGAGAGTCCTCATAATGTGTAAAAAGAGGTTTTAAATAGTATAAGGACATCCATAGGTGTTTTGGTAAAAATAGGAAACTAAAAAGTTACTAAAAGTTGAAATACCGAAAAACAATTTAGAAATCAATTACTTTTGTTTTTTCTGAAGGCTACTTCAATCTAAGAAAGTGCAACCAATTGTATTTTGAAGTGCAACCAATCCTATTTTAACCGAGAGCTACAATTTGACCTGCATGAAGTGCAACCGGTTCTGTTTGAAAGTGCAATCGATTGTACTTTTGCAAAGGGCTAAAAATAGGCCTATTTTGACTCTAAAATTAAGCTCAATGTTCTTACAACCAACTCAAAACATATTTCTGCAATGTGTCCTCACTCATATACATGTTCTAAATGATGTTCTCATAGGATTCAATTGTAAGAAGCACTTGCACTTTAGTTCCGAAATACCAAGACTCAAAATAAACAAAATTACAAATCGATCATCAAGTTTTGACTTGAAATTTGTCAATTATTTTTTAATTATGAAATTAGTCTAATTAGACATATACAAATTATACATTCTATATATATATATACACAAATTTATATCTCACAAGTTGAAGATGCAAAAAATAACTAAGACTTTGAGGGGAGTAGTCACTTTTCTTAAATTGTTATTTGCCCCTATTGGGTTATCTAGCAAAACACTCACAGGATTTAACAAAGTCTGAATTCTTATAGTTAACAATACTGAAAGAATTCCCCAAACACTCTTGAAATTGTTGTAGTTAAGAGTTAACAAATGAGATATGAGAGAAGAATTATATTCGTCAATTAAATCTGAACTTAGCCACCCTATTTATAGAGTACTTAATTGGGATTCAAAATTCAAGAACAATAGGTATGACTCATAATATTATTGTCATCCAAACGAAACCACTAACCACTACTTGGAATAAAGTTTTGATTTTTCAAATGGTATGAATATGTGTGTTTGGCAGATGCGGTACTTCTTCCAGCGATGAGCAGGATGCAATGTTGAGCATCTCCAAGGCTTCCAAAGCCTCAAGGCCCTCAATCTCACGCAACGTCGTGCATCCATGAAAGATCAACTGTCTCAACATTTTAAAGTTTGACAGATTTGGTAATCTTACTATGGATGTGCAATACCTCAAATTCAAATATTCCAATGATACCAATCTATCTAGTCCTTTGATGTTATAGAGATTCTCGCAATCAACAGCTTCAAATCTTTTCAACTTATTTAAGTTGGATCGATTTGATTTATTTTCAAGATGTTTGTACCCACTCATCTCTGAGGAATGTTGGAGCAGATCAAGTTCAGTATTTTTTCTGCACCAAGATATTACAATACTTGCCAGGGATTCCAGATTTCCGAGTCCTTGAACCTCTTTCAGCTCGAGGCAATAATATATGTCCAAACTTGTCAATGATTTTAGTTTTCCAAGATCTTCAATCTCTGTCAGGGTGGAGCACGAATCTATTGTCAAGCTTGTCAATGATTCTAGTTTCCCGAGTCCTTGAATCTCTGTCAGCTCATAGCATTCATGAAGTGTCAATTTCAATAAAAATTTCAAATTTGACAGGTCTGGCAATGTTTCCAATGACGAACATTCGTCAATATATAATTCAACCAGATTGGAGGGTAAACACTATACACGTTGAAGATCATGACATGATTGTATGGTGAGGATTGTGAGCTGAGAAAGGGCATCAATCTCTTTCGGAAGGGTCCTAATGTTGGTATATCCCATCCCCAACCTCCTCAATTTCGATAACTTCTCAATGTCTCTGGGAATCACCACAAGGTTTCTACTGCACCAACAAAGCCGCAGCACCTGCAGATTAACCAGACTTGCGAGATCAGGTGTAACATGCAAGTTTCTGACCTTGTAGGAAGTGACATTCAGAATTTCTAAACTCGAGGGAAGATTTGGCAGTGCTTGGAGATCATCACACTCTCCTAAGTTGAGATTTTGGAGGCAACTGAGCTTGCAAATGCTTGTTGGTAGGCTTCGGATTTTGGTACGATAAAAGCTCAAGTGTCTCAAAGACGATAATCGCTCAATACAGCTTGGAATGTTACCCTCCAATTAGTAACAACGTGAGGCATCTATAACTTCCAACTCCTCTAGCTCCCAGATTTCATTAGGAAACTTCCTTAGATTAGTGCATGAAATGTCGAGCACTATTAACTTATTTGCCATCTGTTTAGAAGATAATATGAAAAAGAAGGATCAATTTCCAACATGCATATCTAATGGGAGACAATAAACGAAATGAAAATAGAGATGTTCAAACAGACCTTAATTTGACTCCAACCCTTCCAGTTTTCTGTGATATAACTATTTGATAGATCAAGTATGACTAGTTTCTTTAATCGAAAATTGGTTGCTTTAAATTGCAGAGGGCAATGAGGCCAAGGAAGCCATCTTAATTTTAACAAGTAATGCTTGAAATCCCCAACAAGTTCTGCTCCATCTAATTGAAGATACCTTAAATGAGACAGTTTCATGAATTTGGAATGCTCAAATATCCTTCCATTGCCGTGGAGACTTAGTACTTCAACCTTGTCAGTTCCCTGTCAATGGAAAAACCATAAAAATAAGTAAACTCTGCATGAAATAATTGAAATATCATGCATAGCATTGTAATCTACAACTTTATTACAAATGTTACAGTACTACACCAATCTAAATGTACGACATGCCTACTTTCGTTTGTGCCGGTGCTCATGATATATTGATGACGTAGTATCACCAGCTAGCAAAATGCTGAGATGTAGTGATATAACCTATTAAATAAATGCACACATGCATCTTTCTTTATTTGACAAGATATAATTGGTTAAAGACATTGATATATCACCGGTGCATAGAAGTCTTTTTCGTACAAGTTGTAGTACTACTACTAGCAACACAGACATGCTTACTTTGGGGTTGGTCAACAAAGTAGCTCCTATTTGGAGCGTTCATGTTGTACTGCAGCAGATCCACTCACCTATTTGAAACCTAAGTGGATGCTACCATGAATATCATTTTGCGTCTCATGCGTGTGCGTGTGTGAATATTATAAGATGACATGATCAAGAGTGAAGAAAAAATTAATCAATTAATGCAATAAATTAAGGGCATAAAATTGAGTGCAGTCAATTTTTACCATTCGTCCCTCCAATACATCCAACGCTTCCTCTTGATGCCACAACCTGCCACGCATTCCTGCATTTTTGTAATCTTCTTGACGGACAATTTCTCTACCAAGATCTCTTAATTGATCATGCATTCCCAGCATATTATCATCTTCAATTTTTACTAAAGACATGAGACAAAGGACATTAATTTCCATCTTGTCAGATAGAAAAGAACCTATAACCTCAAGAGCTAGAGGAAGCCCTGCAGTAATCGATGCAATCTCTCT